TATTTTTTTCAATTCAAAAATATATTCAAGTTGAAAACTTTTTTTCAACAAAATATTTAAACTAACGTGTTGTAAAACGTAAGAACTTCTAGTAGCGTGCATTTCATGCTCGAGCCAGCCCTTAGTTGCTCGAGCGGAAGTATGAGACACAGAGTGGTCACTCAAGCGTGGAATCTGTCTCTTAGGGTAGAAACAGAATTCTGGAATTTCCAGAATTGCTTCCAAGCTTCAAAACTCAATTTTAAGGCATCAAGCTCGATTTTTTTGGGCCAAAACTTAAGAAAACATTGAGAAACTCATAAAACATCATGAATTAAGGATCATTCAAAGAAATCATTGCCCAATAGCTTGCCAATTGCGCAACCATTCAACTTAAAATTTATAAATGTTCCATGAACATGACATGCATGAATTTCTTTGAACTTAAGCTTCTCAAAACATGATCAAATGCTACAAAACAACATGAAACTAGATGATTTCCCAAAATTAAGGTGAATTCAAGACATGCATGAGGGAATTCTTAGAAATTAAACTCAAAATGTGAGAAAATATATATGCATGCATGGTATGGTTCAATACTCTTCATTTCTAACCCAATTCTTACATTAATCAACTCAATCCTTTAGAGTTCATGTCTTACACTTCATAGTTGTTCAAACAAAGGGTTGGATTCTTACCTAAACTTGTCAAGATGAGAGCTAGAAGCTTGGTCCTTGAGTTCCTAAGTCCAAATTCACAAGTTCTCTAGCAATCTCTATAATTTGAGTTCAACTTCTCTTCTTTCTCCCTCTCTCACGTTGGTTGTGTATGTGTGAGCTCAAAATGTGTTGACATGAGGGAAAAGAGTGAGTAGGAGTACACAAGTAGCATTATATAGGCTAAGTTTTTGTAATTTATATAGGCTAAGTTTTTGTAAGTAGCATTATATAGGCTAAGTTTTTGTAAGTAGCATTAAAACGAAATGTATTTATATTTTATCATAAATAAAATTTTTGTAATTTGTTCTTTAATTATTATCAATTAAATTATGGCATGCAATTTTTTTATTAAGAACTTAGAACACACAATTAATGATATCAAAATAAAAAATTTCTCTGATGTGTAACTCTAATAAAAATGAATAAATTTTAATTAATTATAAATTATTTTTACAAAATATTTTAAAACTATCGTTAAAAATCAACTATTAGTGACATTTTTTTAATAGTGTATAATAAAAAATATCATTAATTATCATAAGACCTATTAGATAATAAATTCACTTAATAACACTTACATGTAAGTCCTCCTATTATTTTTTCGTTAAGAATTCTTAACAAAATCAAATTGATGAATGATTAAAAATGTATAATTATTTTATTATTTTTAATCATTAAAACACCTTTATTAAATTAATTCCCCCACTTTATTTTTAATTGTGAATTTAACGATATAATTTTATGGTGTAATCAGTCAGTGAGAGTAATTAATTTTTTTGGGATTAATTTTTATATAGAATAATCATTTTTATCTTCCGATTGAAAATACCTTTTGTGTATGTTTCAATTGAGTTATATAAATTGAATCTAAAATATTTTTAATAAAGTATTGGTGGAGGATTCTTGATGCATTAATACCCTTGTTATAATCACCTTATTTTATCTTGTAATTAATTATTTTTCTCAAATTATTCAACCATTTCAAAAATTCAAAACCATATTTTTCTTTATTTTATTTGAGTGGTCGGTAATTATTTTGAGCAAACTGGTCATTGTGAATTTGACCTCGGACTCATCGAGTTATATTACTTCGCGATATCCTGCACTTGAGATTGTAATATAAAAGTTGCAGCACAAATACTTGAACACATGAATTTTATTATTGATAATCTCATTGCTAATAATATTCACATTCCTTCTCAAGATTTATATCATTCAAATATTACATTCATGAAATTCTCACCTAATTAGATTACACCTAAACATAAGAATAATGAGATACACTACTCCTTGTACAATGAGATACACTACTTCTATATGTACAAATTAGTACATTAACTAGTGTATCAATTGATGATGTGACATAATTTCAGATATCCTTGATATTTATAATTTGTATAATGAGTGTATCATAACTAGTGTTGGTATACTAGTTAATACACTAATTGGTGCATGTAGCACCACTCAAAGTAAAAGGCTTGACATTGCCAAGAGCTATACCAAAAATCTAGAAGTTCTAACCTCCAAGTATTTTAATTGGGTTTTAAAATTTTACTTAAATTTAAATCAAATCTGGTTAACTGTTTTATTTGATATATGAATCATTTTAATGGACGAACTCACATTTAAATATAAATGTAAATAAAAGTCTTATTAATGACAAGGTGATAAATTTTAAAGTTGCAAAATAATTTTAAAATTTTGATAAAGCGTTCGACTCTGTGCCCATTTGGACACTGTGGTTAAAAGCTAAGTTTTGTAGTTTGTCCGAAAAAGGTTAGATTGGCTTTTTTAACATAAAAGTCATTTGGAAAGGTTCAAAAAAGTTACTTGTGAAATTACAATTATACTCTCCATGCTGTTTAGATTATATATGGGTAAAAATATAAATTTTCTAAATTGGGTTGGGATAATTTGATCATTTTATTATGATGTGACATCATAAATAAATATTAAAAAAAAAATCAAAAGTAACTTTTTACCAATTATACAAATTACTTTCTAAAAAATTCAAAAAGTTTGGTTAAAAACTAAAAGTCAGTGTTTAATCTTCTTCCGAAAACACCTCTCTCCTTTTGATTTGAAAAATAAAAGAGGAAAATCATTTTGATACAAGTGAAATTTTTTGTATTATCACACTTTACTAATGAACAATTTTATTTTATTACTTTACTCGTGATTTAGGATAAAATTTTATTTATTACTTTACTCATGAACTATTAATTGGAACAATTAAGCCTTAAATTATTAACTAGTAGTTCACTTTATCCTAAATCATCAACATAGCTAATATTTTTACAAAAGGGGATGGCTTCCCTCCAATCTAAGTATAAACTAGGGGTACTATTGGGCCAGTGGAGGCCCACCATAAGTCTCATTTCGATAATTTGAACCGTTTAATGTGTAAAACTCGTCGAGTACTATATACTTGTGAAAAATTACATTGATTGAATATCGATAGCTATGTGATCAAATCAGATTTTTGTAAGCTATTTATTCTTCACCATCTATTTTTTTCATACAAAACTGATTTAATTACATAGCTATCGATCTTCGATTAACATGATTTTTTACAGGCCTAGCATACTCGACGAGTTTTACACATTGAATAGTTTAGATTTTCAAAACGAGACCCATGATGGGTCCTCACAGATCTAATAGTATCCTTTAGTCCGTGATTGGACACAAGGAAAGCCATTCCCTTTTACAAAATATCGCACTTTTCGCCACACAAAAAAATTTGAACATATGATTTGTTTAATTTAATTGTATTCAAAGACAGTAATTTGTTACAATTATTTATGTTTTGTGTTTTATTGAATAATTTTCAAATAATTGGTTGTGTTTTGTTGCATGATATCTATATCCTTACTACGGGTAAAGCAAATCAATGCGTTCAATTAATCATGTTTGCGCTAGCATGTGTGATATTCCATCAAAATATTAACCTTGTTTGGGATCAAATGAATTAATGTTCAAATTAAAATATGTATATATATATATATGAATTAATGTTAATTATTTTAAAAAAAAAAGGGGAATGCACCAATAAATCCCAAATTAATAACTTATGCACTGTTTAGTCTTAAAAGTTTTCTTATAGACTGAAAGGTCCCATTACAATGTTAATAACATCAGATACAATGTTAATAACATCAGAGTCATGTTACAAACATTGGATTTCAAACATCTAATGTTCATCAAATTTCAATAATGTTTGAAAATATAGGATGAAAAACATCTAATGTTCATCAGATTTCAATAAATTTTGAAATTATAAAATGAAACATCAGATCATTTACATCATTCACATCATGTTGATGTAAAAATGGGACTAAATGGAGCATAAGAAAACTTTTAGGACTAAATGGTTCAACGTTTCAAAAACTTTTAGGACTAAATGGTTCAACGTTTCAAAAACTAGGACTTATGGGTAAATTTTCCAAAAAAAAAATTAATGTTAATAGTTTAAAAGAATAATTATTTAAATTGATAGTTCAAGAAGTAAAAGCAACACAAGCATAATAATTTTAGAAAACGAAATGAAATTCATTTTAAATACGAGAGGAGAGGGTTTTTGAGAGTTTTTTTTTTTTTTTTTAAACTAAAAAATGAAAATAATTTGTCAAAATGACCTTTAAAAATAGCTTAACCACCTCCAACAAGCTTCATTGGGCCACCAACCCTTGGGGACATCTAGGTCCTGGTCAACGTGTTTTTTTTTGGGGGGGTACTCGTGAGATGTTTGAAAATTTGTTAAAATAACTAAAAAAAATAAAAAAATCAATATAATTCTTTCTATTTTTTTTATTTTTTTTTTACATCTTTACGAAAATTATCAAAAAAATCACTAAAAAAACTAGTTCCAAATCGAACCCTCAGTGCCTGCTTGGCTGTGCGATAGCTTCTACTGAACTGCTTTACTGTGATTTCAAAAGAGCAACAGAGATTTGCCTATCAAGAGCGCTTTTGAACCTTCAATTTTTCCACCAGTAAGTTCTTTAAGTATGTAGCCAAACATATAATAAAGCACTTTTTAACAGCCTGTAGGAGAGGGTTCAACAAAGGATTTAGAAAATTCGAAGATCTTCGAAGAGGATCCGAACCCTTTCGAGGCTTAGAGCGATTCAACCCGTTTGATGGCGATAAATCCGGGCCCACCAATCTTGGACTTGCGATAAATTCGGGCTCACTAATCTTGGGCTATTGGGCCTAAATAATTTAGTGGGCTCAAAGTAACCCCTCTTACACAGCCAAAAAACACTCCTAAGCTACCACACCGTACCACCAAACAAAACCTTATAACAGTTAAAAGAGTTGGCAGCACAATATAATAACCAAACAATAAGTACAGAGAAACACTATTAACATTGAAAACAAATTTCTATGATACACATGCTGAATCTGGAAGGTGGGGGGGGACTGCTTTACATAATATGTAATAATGTAAAAGCCGATGGCACAAGAGGAATCCCAGCAAAGATTATAAGAATGGCAATAGCCAACAGGCCATTATCTCTGTATAAAGCTAAGTATAAGAATATTGTAAACAGCTAATCAATTTTTACCGTTTCACGATTCCATGTATTGAGAGGGTGGAGGGCTTATCGTCGTCTTCTCAGGACCTGCAAGTTGGATTAATTTCACATATCACACACACAAGCTATGAGAGAGTACTTACAAAACAAAAAAAATCTACTAGAACCTCAAAGAAAAATAAGACAACTAGAAAGGATTAGATTTTTGAATTGTTGGTAAGTAGAGAATACATGCTGTTTCAATAAATTTTAAGCTAAGCATTATGCATAGGACATACCATAAGCCCCTCGAATCTCCACTTCTCGCCATTCTTGGACAAGGGCACAGCAACAACACATCAAATGCGAGAGAAAATCATCGACAAACCCTCCCTGCCAGAGAAGAAGATGATAAGATGTATTAAGTTCCTTGATTTGATAAATAAATCCCTACGTTACGTACACATGGATTATGTATAGAAGACATTGAGATGAGACCCCAGATATGAATAGACTGTAACTAAAAATATGTAAGTTGAAAATTGATGGAAAGTGACTTTGTACCATCAGATTTAGTATGACCATTTCATTGGGAACCAAGTAAAAATTTCAATTCAATTTTCAAGCCAAATGGTTAAAAGGAATCCAACACTACCATTTTTTTGTCAAATGCACACAGCATTGACTAAATCTTGGGCTGTAAACAAAGGCAACAATTAGCTGGAGCTAAATTGTAAAACAAGGGGCACAGGATTAACTAGTGGATTGGAGGAGGCAAGAGCTAGAATACTATCCAGTTCCAATGGCTCATCTATGACACACAAAAATATAGTGTTGAAGTAGGGCATAGAGTGGCTACCGTGATGTTCAGCATCTTGCGAAGCTTCCGTCTGATGCAGCAAGTATAGCAACAGCATGACAATATCAGAGAATAAGCCATTAAGTCATTGCATGCTTCTGCTGAAGCTGATGAATAGATACAACAAATTCCTGTGTAAGCTTTCCATATAGGATACAAAATCATGAAGAAAAAAATATATATTCAACAATGTTGCAGCCTATCAATTGAAGCAAAAGAATAAAGGAGGTCATTTTAGAAGGAAGAATTTATAGTCTGAATTCTAAAAAACTAGTACACGATTGTAATATCATCTCCACAAGCATACATGTGATATATCCTCTGTTAGTGCACAAGAAGATTTCATGATATAATATCCCATCATCCTCAAACAGAAGAAAATTGGCTACTTCAATTTCCTTTTGAGAGGTTTCCTTCCACATAATCAACTAGTAAGCCAATTAAGACAGCTCAAGCAATTTCATCACACAGACTGAATGATCCAGTTTTATAAACAATCAATGACAACTGAGGGCCCTCATGAATTTACCTAGTTACTTTTTTAGTAACTTGTGGCCTCCTAGTTATCTTGTTTCACTATTGCAAGATACCATAATGAAAAAGTGTACTATGTATTCATCATAAACAAAGTAAAATATCATGCACCATCTACCTTACATAATACTTAACAAATGAACACTCCATCTCATATTCACCAGCAAAAGCTCATCACTTGCAGTGTTTAGATTAGGCACGGGAATATTTGAGAATGAAAATAGTGTATGAACATTCATACAATAAACAGAAACTCATTCATACATTTCATACAAATATATAAATCTGCAAACATGTAAATTCAAAAATCTGGAGAATGCTCTTACAGTCTATACCTTCGAAGTTTTAAATAAAACCAAATAATCAACAATATGCAGTAAGAAATACATACATACATATTAAAGCATCGACATTTAGTTGAAGTGAATGCTCTAATCCTTGTTAGATGTAATCAGAACGTAATGAAGATTGATAAGAAGCCTTGAACAATATGAGAGCCACTTACAGATGTGCCTGTTAGTTGCCACAGTAGCAATCTTTGAAAAAGTCCCACAAGGGCATAAACAAGTTTTTATACCTGTACAGTACAGACGAACTGCTCAGGATACATTTAAGTACAACAAAGATAATAACACCTCAATAACTTAAAGCAAAATATTAGTTGCACCAAACTTTTGGTGCAGTCATAGCAAAACAGAGCTTTACTTGAAAGGCAGGGCAGAAACAGCCCATAGAAACTACATAGTTTTTGAACGGCTCCAACATTAAGTGCATGAAGAAGAACACAAGGAAGAAGAAGAAACCTTGCAAAGGGAGAATCTTTGCATCTTATAATTTGTAATTTGCAAAGGGTACCAGACCAATAAAGAATTGACTAAAAAAGGAAAAGAAAACACAAATAAGTAGAAATCCCCTATACATCCTATGTCCTAATTATCAGTCTATGTAGAGGAAAGAGGAAGGCAAATAGAAGTTACTCCACAAGACTACCTCTCTGCTCTAGAAAGGTAGAACATAGAAAACGAAACTGACTTGAAATTTATATGTGATAAGCCAATCAACACGTGTTCATTTAGAATATACACAAAATAGGTTACTGTTCTGGCATCATGCAGTTGAATAACAAGTGCTGTGATATAATCATATAACATACACAAAATAGGTTCAGAACAACAGCCGAGCAAATCTGAATGCCATTCATCATCCCAATTTGAACCTCTAGTAGACAGCAGATCACGTCCGGATGATACTGAAGAAGTGTTTCTGCAAAGAATTTAGACAGAAAATTCTCGCATCAGGCAACTGAGTTACGAATTCAAGCAATCTACTAGTTAAAATTTGTTGATGATTCAATGAATTACATGACAGAGTAAACACATTAACTGTTTTCTGATAAGCACAGATTTCAAACTAATGAGGCAATATAGGCCACTTGACACCAACACAAACTGCATTTTAAGGAATGATTTCACTCTCTTCTACAACAACAACAACAACAAACAAACAAAAACAAAAAAAGGAGAGAAAACAAACCTTGGAGTTGAGTGAGTCTCACTTTGCTTAGTATAGCTTTCATCGTATGAATGCTCCTTTTCACTATTAACATCCGAATAATTCTGCTCCACCTTTTTGGAATTTCTCATGGATGAACTCTTCTCAGATACAGAATTTACGGCAACAGCCTCTGTGACATCAAGCAGATGTTGAATCACTTCGCACTCACCCACATCCAAATTGGCTTGCGAACGTTGTAGTTCTAACTGAAGCTTTTCATTTTCTTTTTGGAGTGCCTCATTAAAAGGCAAGTTTGGGTAGGAACAAGAAAGGGTTTTCTTCAACCACATAGTGTCATTTTTTGAGGGGTCTGGTTTAAGAATTACATCTTGAACCTTCCTGTCCTCATCGTCCAATGTATATTCACGTTGGTCCCTTTCAATATCCTCCAGTCTTTCCTGCCAATTTGAGGGAAGTAAAAATCAATTTACATTAACAAATTAACCATACCATAAAGAAAACTGCACATAATAGTAAAAACGATATCCTGTTAACAATATCCAAGGTTCCATTCCAAATATTTTGGCCACCATGTCAAGCAGAGTTCACTATATGTACAAATATAGAAATATAATCCACAACTGCATCAACAAAATCAGAAATCATCTTTTTCAATCATAGCCCCAACCAAACAAATATTAGAATCTACAAATTGCACTTCACAAGAAATGCCACTGCATGATGTATAGAAAAAATATGGTGCTCATTGTAGAAGGAGAAATAGAGGGAAAAAATATAGTAAAAAAAAAAAGGCTAGCATGCACATATATCATGACTGGCTAGTCATATATCACCGCAAGGTTAAAGGACAATAAGCTAATTATTCTTACCAACACTATATATAGAGAGGGTGTATCCAATGGCAAAGATATAGTATAACAGTACTTAATAGGTTACCTCCAATCACCGAAAGTGTGCGTTGCATATTAGCAAAACAAATCACAGCTACTAAGAAAAAAAATGTCCAGTATGAGCATGTTCACAATATGTAAACAGTGCACAAAATACAAAGAGGGGACCGAGGTAAAATTACTTAGATTTTGGAGGGGCCAAAGTAAAATTACATAGATTTTGAAAGGGACAAAATATTAACTTCATTAATAAATACTCAAAATACAATGGGGGTCAAATGGGTATTATGTTACAAAATATGTTACAGGATTTGTGTCCACCAATGGGTATTATGTTATAAAATAAGGTAACAGATTTGTGTTCACATTAGCCAAAAGCATTTTGTTGACATTATGTTTTAAAATATGTTACAGGATTTGTGTTCACATTATGATGTTTTTCTTTTTTTCTTTTTCTATTGGGGCAATAACCGTAGGAAGTTACTGACTTAAAAGTAATCCATTACCAGGTAGTATCATCTGCAAGAGAGAGAGAGAGAGAGAGAGAGAGTAGTGAAATACTTCATTACAAAATGAAAATTTTGTACTACTAAGTTTTCAACTTGGTTTTACATAGATTTTGAAAGGGACAAAATATTAACTTCATTAATAAATACTCAAAATACAATGGGGGTAAAATGGGTATTATGTTACAAAATATGATACAGGATTTGTGTCCACCAATGGGTATTATGTTATAAAATAAGGTAACAGATTTGTGTTCACATTAGCCAAAAGCATTTTGTTGACATTATGTTATAAAATATGTTACAGGATTTGTGTTCACATTATGATGTTTTTCTTTTTTTCTTTTTCTATTGGGGCAATAACAGTAGGAAGTTACTTCATTACAAAATGAAAATTTTGTACTGCTAAGTTTTCAACTTGGTTTCAATTTCAATTAAAAAATTTAGCCACTATCAACAAGCTAGAGTTCCAACAGTAATCAAGCAGCAAAAAACACAATTTTAACAAACTTCATGTGCTTATACTTAATTAGCAGGGAAGTCCCATAAAAAAATTTAAAAAAATCAGTCCTTCATGCAGTTCCAGTAAGGTTACAAAAACCAATGTTCCATAAAAAATAATTCTAAGGCAGCTGATTGAGGTGGGTAGTAAAAAACAATTCTTGATTGGAAATGAGTACAGAATTTTTTTAACAAAGTTCACATCCACCAATAAAAAGTCATCAAATAAAATTATACTAAAAGAACCCAGCCAAAATACACTAGCAAACAGAGAGGAGAAAAATAAATAAATAATGAAAATTATTTACCAAACTTTAATTAACCAAAAAAAGGACAAGGAACAAAAATAATAACAAAGATTTATATAATACCCTGACTCGAGCATTATCAACAAGAGTTATGAGGGGGACGATCTTCAAGTATCGGTCGATCTCATTTTGAGCCTTCCTAAATTGGTACACAATGTTCCATCCCATTGCAAGGAGATAGAGATAGCTCCTGTCCTGGCAGCTGTTGACCAAAATGTAAGACCTCCTCAGGGCATCCTCAAGCTGCTCCAATGGTTCCCGGGTCTCCGGATACCTCTTAAGCTCCGAGATCCTGAGCTGCTCCAGCAGGTTACCAATCAATTTGAGATGCAGCGCAAATTGCCTGCAGTTCTTTTTGTGCATTCGAGCCGTGTTTGCGGCTTGTACAATCATCCCAATTAGCTTAACCGCATCAAGGCCGGTGAGTTGGGCTACATTTGCAATCTCACCTATTTGATCCCAAGAGGATGCCATCTTCACCACCTCAGATTAATCCCCAATCCTGACTATTTTAACTCACATCAAACACAATGACCACCTAATCGACATCTTCTGATCATATTGCTCAAATTACAGAACCAATGCAGTTTTTTTTTTTTTCTTTCATTCTTTCCCCTCTTCGTACACGAATTTCTCAGAAAATGTAGGAAAATCAGATTTTTTTTATTTTTTTTTCAGTTCCAACACCACTGCTCGTCCAATTGCACTTTTTCCGACATCAAAATAATAAAAATCGAAGATCGAGGTAAAGTCCTCAACTTGCACACTTCTACCGGAGGGAAAGCTGAAAGATCTCTTTGAATAACGTTCTGGAAATTCAAATTCAACTGCAATGGAATTCAGCAAAAGAATCAACAAAATCTCGAAGATTATCATTTACGCATCTTGACTTTCTTTTTTAATAAGCTATGAAAAAAAAATAAAAAGAGCAAAAATAAATAAATAAATAAAAATAAAGAAAGATTTTGTTTATGATAAAATCCCTCCTCTTCCACAAAAAGCAACGATAACTAAAAATAAATATAATAAAATATAGAGTGAAAATCTGGGGAATTCCGGAGCGTTACCTGAAATTTGCAGAAACCGCTGGCCTCACTGTTCTTCGCGGGAATCTAAACGACCGCTCGTGATCAATCTCAGCTTCAAAACTGTAATCCAAATCTTTCCATTACACATTTGTATATATATATATATATTCATATCATATGAATTGCTGCATGTACATATACATATATATAAATGTTGAAGACAAAGGTTTATACCTTCTTGATGCGCAAAAGCTTCCAATGTCTAGAGTTTGTGAATAGACAAAACAAATGATGAATCGAAGACGAGAAGGGACATGGAATTCTGCAAAAGCGATTTCTGGAACGGAGAAGATTTTGGAGGAATTTGAGCACCACAGAAACACCACAAACAGATCACACACACACACACACTCTCTCTCTCTCTCTCTCTCTTCTCTATCAAAGCTTCGGTGTCATTTGTCTTGACTATGTTCTGTTCTTGTTTGGGTTGTGACTCTTCTGTGAGTGGACATGTAAGGTAAACTATGCCGGACGATCAGGTATTAACTGCAGCAATAAAAGGCGGTCAGTGGAATGACTAAAAGGCCCTCGATGTTTGTCGGTATTACGAGAATGCGGGCGATCTTCACGGGACGTAAATGTAGAGAAGAAGAAGATAAACACACAGGAAGAGTGGGGTGGGGGGGTTGACTAGAAAAAATGAGATTTGGGTCGAAAGTTTTTTTAACAGAAGAACCAACTCGGCTGACAGCTGGCTCCTGCAATTGCTGCCAAACAATCTTGAATGCCACCACCAATCAACATTCGCTCCATTAAATTCAGTGGTGTTTTGGGGGAGTTAATAAAAAATTAATTTTTTGATTTTTTTTTTGTGATTTTTTGATTTTTATATAAAAAATAGAGGGTTTATGTGATTTAAAAAATCAAAAAATTAAAAAGTTAACTTTTTATTAGAGTACTATTAAGGATATCAAATTTTCTATTAAATAAATAACCAAATGGCTGATATGGGTGTGAGATTTGCAATTTTATGAATCTCATACCCATGTATGAATCTTATATCCATGTGAGATATTTGATAATTTATTTAGTAAACAATTTAGAACAAATATCATTTTCTTATTACCAACCACCAATTAAATGCACATACCTAAATTTTTTATCTAAATTTTTACCAAATATTTTTATATAGAAGAAAAATATTAGAGGCTCTAAAAAATTTTGTTTGGTAAAAAAAAATTTGGTAATTTTTATAGGGCCTTTAGCATTGCCCTTTATATAATAATACAAAACTATGTGAGTGTTTAGAAATTTTAAAACTATAATAGTTATCAGTTTTTTAATTAACACAATTTTAAAATAAATTTTTTTAATTTAAAATATTTATAAATTTGTATTCATATTTTATAGTCATTTCCATTACATATAGAATGAAGAGGATTAAAATCCAAAATTTTGTATCTCTCTTCTTTTTTTTTAGGTGAATTAAATTTTTTTGTCTCATACTCACAATTTTATGATAAATAATGTCAAAAATATTAAAGATTTTAAATATTTTACATAGTTTTAATTATACAGTCTTTAAAATAAACCATGATTTGTGATCTAGTTTAAAAAAGGCTCTAGTGATTTTTTTTTTAAAATTAATACTAATTTTGTTTTTATTTTTCAGTTCATCTATATAGAAGGATCCACAAAAATTAGAAAAAAAACAATAATTAAAAACCAAAGAAAATCAAATATTTCTAATTTATTTTCTTTTTAGTAATCTTTTTATTTTTAGTTTTACGGTATGTCTAGTCCAATAAAACCTGTAAAGCTTTTGAACTTTTTTTAATAAAAACTTTACTAAAACAAAAAAAATCAACAAAAAAATTCATTAATACAGCTACTTCTAAACTACAAATTTTTTTAACGTTGACACAATATTTAAAATAAAATAAAAATTAAAGTGCTATATTTTATAAAATTGTAATTGTAAACTTATTAATTTTCTCAACTTTCTGTCACAAATTGTCATAGTTTATCCAAAATTGAATAAGATACTACATGTGCTTCTTTAATTTTCAGATCCATCCAATTTGGGAAGGACAGTACAGACTGTTCTCACTTCTCATCATTGTTCTATCCGAATACATATTCCTCTCATATTTGTGATTTTTCTTTGCTCAAATTTACACCAATTGACTACATGACATCTTATGCTTATCTATAGTTTTACATTTATTTGTAGGTGGGGTTTGACAAAAAAATAAAAATTCTTTTATATGAAAAAAAGTTGATGCGTTCGAAAATTATTAAAAAAAGTTACTTTTTGTTATGTAAAAAATAAATTTGCGAGTCTTTTCAAACTTTTTTTTTTGAGTGAAAAATTACTATATTACTATTTTTGAGTCTTTGTTAACATAATCAAAGGGACACTGTGAAATTTGTCAATATATTGAGAGTAAAGTCATTCTTACACAAATCTATAGTGATTTACAACAAAAAAAATCACCTTTTCATGAAAAAGTTAAACAGACTTTTCATTTTTTAATTTTTTTTAAACAAAAAGTAGTTTATTTGGAAATTGTCATTACAAGACAATATAAAAGAAATCTCCATTGACTTCAGTTAACTTAAAATTGATGAACATAACAAAATAAGGAAGAAATATGTAATTTACTAAAGTTATTTAACAGTATATACTATGAAAAAGAGAATATAAAAACTAAATGAAAACATACAAGATACAATGCCCTCACCAACCACAGATATTGTAAATAATTTTATTATTATTATTTATTTTTTTGGTGAATATCATGGAGGGTCTCCCATCCCATGTGGGGGAATGGGGGGATCATCATTCCATACTTTTCAATTTTAGCATGCTTCCAATCACATGGAAGCCCACTCTCCCATAAATTATCCTATGCCATCATTTATAAAAATAAAATAAAATAAAATTGATAAAGCAAGTCACGATAAGAGAGTAAGATATCGCTTAATTACAACTTGAGTTGTTACAAAAGGATTTTTTTTTATTATCAAGGTTTTAAATAATGCTATTAAAATATATATTGATATTAATAATATAATTACATATCTATTAATATTGATTGATATAACATTAAATAACAATATTGAAAGTTGAAAATATTGATGTCTAATCAACCTACAATATTTTACAATTCTCTACACATAAGATAAGATTGTGGGTTGGTTTAAAAAGTAATTTTTTGACTAAAATATATGAGTTATAAAAATTAAAGTATTTTTTTGAATTTGTATAATAAAAAAAAAGTGCAAAACGTAAAAAAATAAAGAAAAATCTTATGACTTTTTGTATGTTTTTTTAAAAAAACCTTTTAAAATAATTTTGTTTACTGTTTAACTATGCTACTCAATTGCCAAATCCTTTGGGATCTATTAAAAAAATAAAAGTCAAAACAATTGTTTATTATCAGGTACAAAGTCAAATATCGCATAAAAATTTTCACTTACAAAAAAAAAAAAATGAACATTGCAACTTTCTCAATTTTTCTTTTAAGTGTCAAAAGGCGCTAACAAAATTAAAGGCAAATTATTCTATCAATTCCTGTGATTTAAGACTTATATTATTTTAGTTTTTGATTTTTTAATTGTGGTATATTTAATCTTAAATTTTGAATATCATTTTAAATAAGGAAGTTGAAAATATTGTTACTCCATTTCAAGAGTAGAATCGTCAATTTGATAAAATATAAACTAATTTGATAGAAATAAATATCAAAAAATTATTTTTTAATTTTTTAAAATTACTTCTATCCACCAAAGATAAAATTATATAAAAATGATAAATCTTTTACATTTTTATTTTTAATTTTTTTACCAAATTAATTTTTAGTATGTATTTAGATGATGATCATATAATGAGTGGCTATTTTGTTAATATTTTTAAATGGTTATCATATAATAGATGGTTGTATTTGATGTTAATAGATATTTTTAGATGATTATCATGTAATGGATGGTTATTAAACTTTTAATGTGTAATTGATATGTTTAATATATGAAATATTTTTAGTTTTGTTTTTTTTTATATAATGAATTGGTTTAATAACAATATCAAATCTATCGTCATGTTTGACTTTAAAAAATTAGAACTTAATTTAAAGAAATAAATATAAAAAAAATTATTTCTACCATTCTAAAAGATAAAATTATATAAAAATGATGTGTTTTTAATTTTTTTTACCAATTTAATTTTTAGTTTCTTAGATTCTGAAAATCAAAGCAAGCAAAACTTTATAACCAAGAAAGTTCCAACATTTATATCTATACTATATATTAAGGAAAATAAGATTTTTAATAAGAAGAGCCTTATGAAACCTAAAACCGTCATACTATTTTTCTAAAATTTTTATTTTTTAAGTAATTTAAAAAAATTTATTTGATAACTCTTATTGAGTCATTAAAAAAAAAATCTTATTATGCCTTGATTTACACATTTCAAAAGGAAAGTTAATTAATCCATTTATAAATTTAAATTTAGAAAAAGGAAACTTAACTAATTAGTTTTAAATTTTTTTAAAAATCTTCTAATTTTTATTGAATCATTTTTTTAAAAAAAATTATGCCTTGATTCACACATTTCAAAAAGAAAGTTAATTAATCCATTTAAAAATTTAAATTTAAAAGTTTGAAATGGATCAGTTTTAAAATTTAAATTTATGCACTAGGCATATAATACTTGTTAGTTAAAATGCCTAGGATGATTCACTTTTTTCAATTCCAATGCACTAGGCATATGATTAGGCATTTTGGCTCAACTCATATTCACTAGCTACATGTAGCTAGCCTTCAATGTTAGGCAAAATGTATTCAATCATTAGGATCATTTCCCTCCATCTTTGTTGTTGACATGGCATTCTATAAAATTAATAGTATTTGGATAAATAGCTAAAATAAAGAGCATGGTTGGAGTAAAAACATAAAGCAGTTGATAGGCAAAATAAAATATATACTTTATAGTAATATTTAGATAGGTAAAATGCCTACTACCGTTGGAGATGCTCTAAGAATCAATTCACATCTTCCATAGATTATTTCTCTTTATGTTTAATTTTTTTAAATAATTAAAAAATCTTTTACTGGTTAGATTTTATTCCCTTATAATGTGATTGATTATCTATTTTAAGAACTTTCTTCTTTCACCAAATATTATATAGGTTTTTTTGGATAATATATATCAATACAATAAAGAATCCAAAACTCCTTCCAAACATTGATTTTGTGTTTGGTTTATGGTTTTGGTGTAGAAAAAATGAAAAGGTGTATGAACTTAGGTAGAATGTAATTACATTTAATTCACATTTCACATATCTTTTTCTTTTTTCCTTTTTCATTCCAAATTTCTACTTAAATCCATGAATCAAACATAACATAAAGTTAAGTACAGATTTTCCATACTGAAATTTGAATTAATATTACTTTTTAAAATTGTGTACTGCGAACTCTTATCAGACATGCATCTCCATATAATAATGATTGAAATTTATTTTAGTTGCTATCTCAAAGATTAGTTATGGAGTCAAAGAAAATGTGTAGGTCTTAAAGTTTTGAAGTAAAAATTTTATGTTACAATTTGTTCAAATGTAATTCTCTTAATATTTATAATATTTTTTTATTGATTGATAAAAAGCACTGTAAATATTAAGATTCTTTTTTTTTAATGATAT